ACGGGGAGTGTCAATAAAGAAGAAGGAATCACCTGGAGGATAATAAGGACCGAGGAAGAAAGCTTGGTTCAGGTGGAGTAACCGTGGGCCACCAGACATTCCCATAAGTAAGAAACAGTGACTCAGAGAATGCTTCGAGAGCCGTCAGAAGCAAGCGTCAGTGTCAGGAACGGAGCTCATAGACTGATTACCAACATCTCAGAGACAGTAAACCTACACCAAGTCACAGAATACAGCTGTGAGTAACAAACTCGAGAACGTTACTTAGCAAAAGAGTGTTTTGTGAGAAGCGGTACTAGCGGAACATGAGATTGAGTTAACAACATCTCAGAGTCAGGAACGGAGCTCATAGACTGATCACCAACATCTCAGTGACAGTAAACCTACAATAAGTCACGGAATACAGCTGTGAGTAATAAACTCGAGAACGTTACTTAGCAAAAGAGTGTTTTGTGAGAAGCGGTACTAGCGGAACATGAGATTGGGTTAACAAACCCACAGGGCTGAATCAATTGTCTGATCAAAGAAGGGTTTTCAAGATGGAAACTATGACAGCTCTCCATCGAGCTGAAGCGACTACTGTAACAGTACAGAGAAGTCTGATCAACAAATGAAAAGCATATTATCATAGAGGGTTCGCTAAGAAAGAAGGTTACTTGGTCTAGGGAAGAGGTGGAGCGTGATGATAGAGCTTATGTGTGAGATCAACGACTTGTCAGAACCTCAGTTGGGTCCAAAGGTAGAGACACGGAACCATCTGAAGAGACATGCAAAGAAAGAAATCCACAATTTAGCTACAAACATACATGATCCGCTTTATACTCTTAACATATGATCCTAATCGCTTATGATGAGAAGAGATTAGATGTACCTGAGGTATTAAACGGGAAAAAGGTGACAGAGTCACAATGGATTTAGCTAACATCTCTCGCAGAGAAGTAAGTTGTCGTGTTGGTGAAGAGGCTTCGAGGGAGAGATGAAGAGGAGGAGACACTACACCATCGTGGTGGAGCTGATGAGATCTATGCTCATGGAGCGATGGTTGTGAGGTGGAGAAACCGACGATCTCTCATGATGAAACCGAGTCCGTGTCGGCGGAGAAGGTTTGAGAGAGAGAGAGAGAGAGAGAGAGAGAGGGAGAGAGAGAGAGAGAGAGAGAGAGAGAGAGAGAGAGAGAGAGAGTCACACTGAATCTTTGATTTCTCCAAGGGACAAAGAGACAAAGGAGAGAAGGATGAGCCGTCGGTTCAAGGGCTTGTTTGAATGGGCCGGTATTGGGCTCAAGTCAAACTGGTAGAGATTGTGAAAGGTTTGGACTTGACCATATCCAGATGGGCCAGCAGCTACACTCCTGATGGGCCAAGAAATATTACAGGCCCACTCCAGCAGTAAAACTTAATCACATACGAGACATATATAATGAGGTTAAGTATGGTTGATTAGGTTAACAGCAGCAACAAGGGAAATACAAGAGTTTACAGCAACAAGGATCAGATCAAGTCATTAAGCAAGAGACAACAATACAAGATATATAACTTAGGCTTAAGTCTATTTATCTAAGGGCTTTGTTGTGTTTCTCTAGTTTGGAGTATTTGGTTCTTTGTAAATAACTATCTAGAACACTAATTGGTGTGTCTAGTGTCTCTTTGATCTAATGGAGTTTGGGAGTAGAAGTTTTCCCACGAGATATACCGCGCTAGAGGCCGGAAACTCGTTAAATCGCTTGTGTCTTTACTTTCAGTACTAGACCTAGGTCAAAGATAACTTTTAACCTAAGTAACCTAAGCTAATAATCTCTACAAATACAAATATATTACATATATTATTAAATATAATTTAAAATAAACGATTTTTTTTTTTATTTTGTGCTTAATTAAATCAAATTTCTATTACATTAATACTATATAAAATATATAATATTAATAAATTTTATTTCAAATATAATTTAAATTTTAAAAAGTTTATTACATTGTACATGGTGCATAAAAACACCTAGTAAGTTGTTAACTATGAAAAATTGAGCCATTCACCCCGTTCTCCCTTCTTGGTTTAATTTCTCCTCTTCTTTTGCTTGCACGAAAAAACAGTAAGTGTTGGAGTGCTTTTTGACGGGTTCAGTTCTTTTCTTGTAGTTGGTTCATCCCAAAAGAAAAAAGTGGACCTTGATTCTGATCAACAACCTTCTTATGAGCCTAGAGGCATTGTCTTGTCCATCTTCACTTTGAGCCCGATCCATGACCATTCTAACTCGATTGAAATGTTCATCATGCATGGTTGGATTAACAATCTGGTATTCTTTCTCCATTTTCACTTTGAACCCGATCCATGACCATTCTAACTCGACTAAAATGTTCTAACTCGATTGAAATGTTCATCATGCATGGTTGGATGGACAATCTGATATATTTTGTCCATTTTGAGCTCAATTGCATCTTCCTCCATCTCCTCTCCAAGACTCATTCAAACGGCTCAGTGCGTACCATCCAACTCTGGTTTGTCCAACTCCTTATGAGTATCCTCTCCAAGTTCAACTCGCCCTCGTCGAGCTCCAGATCGTATGGATGCACCTATACTCGACTAGATCGATTAGTAGTCGGGTCTTGTCCAATGGTGTCCGCACCAAAAAAAGTGAAGAAATGAGGAAGATGTAGCTATTTATATAGGGAAAACGACATGGAATTTAAGGAAACATCATTATTATTAGGTCTAACTTCAATCTGAAAATAGATGTACCATCTTTCGAGGAAAACGATGGTTCATTATCTCCAAAATTTGGTGTAAACGGTTTGACGTCAAAGCCAAACCGTAACTTTGATAAAACCAGATAATATGTAAGGCTGAGACACAAAGGGCGAAGTTCAATATCTCACCGACATGTTGTTTGTAATTCATCGAAGTTGATTTTTTCTCTCACAATGAACTCGGAGAATTTATTGTTAGAGTTGAGATTCACTCTCACCAGGTCTCAGTGGTCCAAAAAGAAGTCGATCAAGAGAAAAGGAAAGACCTAACTGACTCAGTTGTATAAATACAGTGGAAATCGCCTAAGGAATAAGTATTATTTTCAGCTCTGATGCAAAAAGATTACAGTATGATTTTTATTTTATAGTTTTAACCTGGTTTTCTATACACTTTCTCATGTAATCAACAAGTCTTTCTAATAAATGTCAGTTTAAATAATTCACCATTAAATTCGTTCTATTCACCTGCGTACATCGAAACATTAAAACGTTAAAGAACACATCCACTGTTAAATTAATAGAAACAAACAAGTAAGTCTTGAAAAATCTACCGTGATACTTAAAATTAGTAATGATACGTACTTACATGATCTATTAATCTATCTGAGAAGAATGCTTTCCTATATTCGTCAGCGTGTTATCCCTTCATCTTCTATATATGTAATTTGATAACATTACGATTTAAATACTTGAATAAGTAGATATTTATTTTTACAGTATTTTATTTTGGTATTTAATAATATGGCGAAGACGAGAAAAATTGCCTTTTCATAAAAGAATGTTTGAGAGAAATTTGTGAGGGAAAAGTTACTTTTGAACTTTTAATGTATTTTAATAGATATATGATGTTTCTTTGTAACCCACTTTTCCATGGTGCATAACTATTACATGTTGGGGTGTTTTGTACCTGATGAATGGTAATGAAAAGGACTAGTTAGCTACTTGCTCATGTTAGAAATGATCTACTCCCTTTGTTTCATTATAAGTGTCACTCTACAGCTGTGCACACGGATTAAGAAAACAATTAATTTTACATATTTTCTATATAGAAACACAGTTACCCATACAATTAACCATATTTTAACCAATAGAAAAACAAATTACATAATAAAATTAATAAATTTTACATTGAAAACGACACTTATTTTGTAACGCAAAAAATTCTCTACAATGACATTTAATATGAAACGGAGGGAGTATGGTTTATGCTTCAGTAATGTGATACCATGGAAATTACTCTAACATGTCTTTTTATTACATTTAATTCGTCCTTGATAGTGGTTGAAAAATGTTCCATTTGACTGAAAACAAACAAAATAAGTATGGGAGTCATGTGCGGAAACCGCGTGGAAAAGGGACTTCAGGAGACCATCTCGTTGTTTGTTCAGTTCATTCTCCACCTGTTACCAGCCTGTTTCCCTCAAGAATTTATGAATAGATTAACATATTTTTTCTTGAGAATATAACAATTGAATGATCCAATTGCTTGTGACAGCTACATCTTATAACCGTGGTATCCCAAACTACTCAAGCTAATTTTTTTTTTTGATAAAAAATCAAGCTAATATTTGTAGTTCGCTAAAAACGATAACTAAATTTTTAATGAACAATTGCATGTATTCTCATTATAAATAATAAATATATAAAATGTAAAAATAATGAAAACTGTTATATAGTTGAAGGATTCATAACGGGATTGAGAGACTATGGTTCGTGTTTGAAACTGAGAGTATTATGGAGGGATCCAAACTAATCTCTAAAACGCTGCAATCTACATATTGATTTTCTTTCTTGTTATACAATTGCTGAATCAGAGATCAATATGTGTGGATATCTAAGAATAATGTAACTTAGTTTCCTGTAACAAGGTGAAACTAGAACATGTTTGCGTCTCAAACCTTCTCTTACCACAAGGTCCCAAACCATCTCACTTTCTCTGGCTATTGTATCTCCTTTAAATGGTAAAAACATACATAAATAAGCATGTATTTTAAGTCTAGGATCCCGAGTAACTAAAATTAATATGCTAAGAAATCTTCGTATTTTTAACAGGTTATAAAGATTATACTGAAATGTTTGGTTTGGAATCCTTTATTCTGAAAGAGTATAAAATTAAAATAAGACCAATAGAACATGTTGGTTTTATTTAATAAAGATAATGAAAATTGGAAGGGAATAATACTTACAAGTCCACTAAAATAATGAAGTTGGTAGCTTGGCCTATAAAAGGCCAATAAAGAGACCACAAGGAGGATACAAACTTGATCCTTGCAAACCATCCTCAGTGACTTAAAGAAAACCAGTGAAATTAAACATGAAGATAACTGTCTTCATATTCTTTTTTGCCTCACTTCTTCTAATCACTTCATCTCTTACTTCGGCTACTATCTCAGGTTTGTTAATCTCTTCCAAGACTCTTTTCTTCAATAATTTACTTTATATAGTTAGCTATGATAACTTGGTCTAGCTGATTTAGGTAACATATGTTTTTATACTTATTGATTAAAAAATTCAGCAAAGATAAGTGAACTTTCTCTACATCGCATAACATGCAAAACTATTAAATGTATAAATATACGTGTAAACAAAATCTGGAATGAATATTTCATGATGATGAAGGTGGTGGTGGTGCGGTAGCTCCAGCTCCGGAGATAAAAGATGGAGCAGAGTTAGAGAAATGGTGTGGAGGGAAGTGTGAAAAGAGATGCGAAGAAGCGGGGATGAAGGATAGATGTTTAAAGTATTGTGGGATATGCTGCAAAGAGTGTAAGTGTGTTCCTTCAGGAACTTCCGGGAACAAGCAAGAGTGTGCTTGCTATCGTGACAAGCTCAGCAGCAAAAAGACCCCCAAGTGTCCTTGATTATACATCTCGATCTCCATCCAAATTTCTAAATAAATAAAAAAGACAGATCCTATTAACAAAATATAATTGGATCTTTTGCTTATGAGTTTTTTTTTCATTTAGTTGTCCTTTGTAATTCCCGGTGTTAATTTGGTGTTTGGTCATTATAATGTGGGCTATCTATTAGTACGTACTCCACATAAGATGCTGTTTCGTATTTCACCAATTAAAAAAATTGAAGCAAGTCAAAGTAGTTAAAAACAAATTTGTAAAAAAAAAAAAGAGAAAAAATTTAGAATGATGATTGCAATGTGTAAAAAAGCTTTTAAAACAATATTTATCAAACATATAATAAATACATTGCATGACTCCGTGATATAAACAATTTCTGAATCGATAACCTTATAAATAGTTTTTTGAACAAATTATTTCTTACAAATATTTTCTTGATCCAAAATTGTATTTTACGTACAAACGAGTGCGAGGGCTAAACTTTTAAAAGAGAGCAGATGAACGTGTTTGGTGAATAATTATGATAGAATTGCGACAACTTCTACCAGGTTTTAAAAGACTGACTATCATGTTAGGTTCATCACGTGCTTCAACTACTTCATTGTCTACGTTTTCGATTTTCCTATTTTTTTGTGTGCATAATAAAACGAGTACTTTTTGATCAAAAAAAAAAAAACGAGTACTTTATGAATTAATTAGGTAAGTAACTATCATAATCCATTCAATTAATAGTTTTACTAAGTTGTTGGACCAGCCCTATTTTATTTAAATATATCAAGCCAATTCTCAAGAAAAAAGAGAGTTGTTGGACCAAAATGCGTCTGCCACTACTGGTTATCACACGTCAAAATTAAGGGTGACACAGATACTTGACACTCAGCTTTTACCCATTATTCGTTCTATACTTATCCCGTAAATCAAATATTTGTAGTGATTAAACCAAATAACAAGTACTTCAAATAAAAAATTTGCAAGTATAAACCAAGTATCAAATCTATAAAAAAATTTAACCACTTGATTTATTTATACTTGTTACTTGACATAAGTTTTATAGTTTCAAATATTTTTATCTATTTACATTTTTAAATTAGATGAATCATATTTCTTTTTACTTGATTTAATTGTCTTGTTTCAGTTTAAAAAAAAAATCAAATTTTCGATATTGTTAAGTCAAATAATAAACCATAAATCTTATTATTTGTAAATGTAAGCCACTCAAATAGCTTTGTATCTTTCAATATTTGTCTCATTACTTTTTCTTTTACCTAATATTCACTAATTGTTTCTAATTTTTATTATATAACAGATTTTGTCTTTTATTGATATTGAAATAAAATCAGAAAAAAATATTAGATTTGAATAAAAGTTTTTAATAAAAAAGATAGTAAAATTTGTTGTATGATATTATGTTTGTTTTTACTTATTTGCAAATTTGCAAGTAATAGATTTTAGAAACAAGCACTTGATTTTATTAAGTAACAAATCAGATCAAGTAATTTGCAAGAATTATAATTTTCTCGAGTACTTGATATAGTAAGTACTTGTTTTACACAAACCAAATTCAAGTCTTAAACATGATTATATGAACGAGCCAAACCAAATACCAAACCTGCAAAAGTTAGCAAGTATTTGGCTTGCAACCATCATAGTCAAAATATCGAAGGTGATTGTTTTTGACTGACGATGATTCACTAGTATTCATCACATGTTCCTAGTGGCGCAATGTTATTCCGTTCTTGTAAATCAATGTATTTTGGAAAATATTTACTCAAGTTTCAGTTCTCCTAGATATTTCTTTTTATTTTTGCAATAAGTGACCAATATGTTTAAAATGATCAAATTAAACTTAGCATTAGATATTTTATCCTTTTGGTAAAAATGTAAAGATACTATTATCATTTATTTTAGTTTTGGACAGAAGTAAAATGACTGCAAGAAACAGAAGAAAGAAAATAAAACATAAACAGCGACTCGATTTTGACAAAAACAGTGACAGACCCAACAAGCACAAGCCGCTATCTGGAGGCCTCAACTAATCCACACAACGGCTTGCCATAAAAGGAAGAACCATACTTAAAACGAGAGTCAGAATCCTCTAATTTTGGTTTTCGTGGTGTGTTTTCACTTGCGCACGAGTAATCTATATTATAATAGTACACTTTCTAGGCTCCACAACGCGCCACGTCAGCAATTTTGTGGGTCCCATAAGTATTTTTTAAAAACTTATGGTCTTGGTAAGATGATTACAAACAATGAAATACACTTTAGCCAAGTGGTATAAGGTGTCTAATTAAGCATGCAAGATCGTGGGTTCAAACCACGCAGGTTTTTATGTT